GTGGGTGGGTGAATGAGACTGTTTGGCCGAAAGGTGAAGTGGTAGGTTGGACGTTATGTGTAAAGCGTATGTCGAGTAACATTGAGACGGGCTGTTTGGATTTTAGACTTAAGTGAGCACCTCTGTAGTAATGCGTATGTGAACAGAACTATTATTCACCATGTTGTCCCACTATAAGCTAACATTTAATCAATATCGAAATAAGATTTACTACCCACACCCAACTAAAGTGGTCTTTAAATGCTGTTTTTATTCTTCATAGCTGAGCACATCTCTTCCCTTCGCATTTCTCAACCCTGTTGTCAAAACCATGTCTCCTAAGCGCGGTCCTGCTTCCGGTGGTACGATTTTGAAACTTCGTGGTCAATATCTCAATGCTGGCACCTCGGTGGAAGTCAACATTTCAAGAGCCAAATGCGACATTTTGAGGTAAGATCCGTGCAACATATTCGCGATTCTTTTGTTTCGTTAGCTTCTATTTCAAGGTATAGAAGGGTTTGGATCTAACTTTCCACATCGAGAATAATTTTTTCATTTCTCTCTCTCTTTCCTAGTCTCTCTTCAGATCTTCTAACTTGCCAAACTCATGACGTAGATAAATCTCTTCTATCCCATATCACCGAATCGGAAAGAGGAGTTGAATGTGGAATTTCTCTTCGTTTCGACGAAGCTCCTGTCCTTGACATACCTTTTAGCTTCTTCTTTATGCCTGATCCAAAAATCAGGACAGTTACGAAAACCTTGATCTTTTTAAGGTGAGTAAATGAATCTAACTTTTTTACTTATCCCTCGAAAAACGGGTTTTTGACCCAGGTCGAATCGGGCCTATAAATCCGCCTACAAATCTAGTGACATTTTTGAAGCTAACAGGATGCCACGTCATTTCAAAATTGAAAAATGTCAGAATTAAGTAGTATTGCGGGTACATTAGTCAACAGGATAGGAACAAGGGGTGAATGATGGAAGCGGTGGGAAAAGGAGTTTGGAGGGAGAGGGGGAAGGTAAACCGGATTGAAATTAGATCCGCCTTGGGAGACTGACTGGTCTTGGGAATTATAGTGTTATTCTAGATTGGTCCTACCTATATTACCATAAGCACAATGCAATTGCTTGTTACTTTGCACTGGTTTTGCTGTACATGCCTGTTGAATCATAGGACATGCTAGATCGAAGTACATCCTTATATGGTAGTGTCTACTCCTACTTGTTAATGTTGGTCCTCTTATTGTACTAATTATGAAAACTGATTTTTTTCAGTGGTGGCACAACTATCCGTGTATTTGGTCAGCATTTAGATATGATTGAACATCCTCAGATTGTCTTCTACCATGATGGAATGGAATACATTGAAGTAAGACTTCGCTTTCTTTAATTGACACCCCAATCTTTTAGTCTTGCCAACGAACTATAGGATATCTTGCCTGTTTAAGCCCATCGCTTGATTTCACTGCTCGAAGAAAGAGGAACTTAAAGGTGGTTGAGTCCGGTACCACAATTAGACCTATCACAAATCCTTTGGTTTTCTCCAAGCTCTTGGCGTATGAACACGACGATGAAATGGTAATTAAATCAGCGGACCAAACCGGGAAGGCTCTTCTTGTTACCTATGGATTCCTCATGGATAATGTTACTGATTTACTTGTCTTTGGTGTCTTCCCTGTAAGTGTTTCGTATTAGTAATCATGTGCTGACCCTGTCAATTCAGGTTTATCCAGATCCGGAAATCTTTCCTTTCACAAATGGACGTCTAGTGGAATCATTTTCGCCTTCTTCGCTTATTGGACTGCCAAAAGAACCTTCTAGTACCCCTCCTACAGCCGTTGAACGCCCAAAATTTCTGAATTCAACATCGAGTGAGAACTCACCATCCTTACATAATCGCCACTTGCTTCGTTTCCATGGTAACTTTGGAGCGTTGGCGGAGGTTTCCGATTCTCATGCTTTGGATGAGCTCTCAATTAATGTGATTACTCAAGCTGGAGAAAATGGGACAATTAGAGTCTGTAAACCCACAATAGTGAAACCAGATGAGATTCGATGTGAATTGAATCGAAAGGCGCTGGTTGAAGGAGTGGACTATCCCGTCTTCATTCAAGTATGTTATATCTGCTTTTAGTGTGGACTAGTAGTAGAGTCGACTGATGCGCTAATTACCCTGGTGTTTTTTAACCTTTAGTTTGGAAAGTACCTAGTAGCTCAACCCGGTGTCCTTCAATTCAAACGCGTAGCTCCTCCTGGAGTTCGTGATCGTGCCGTAATTGTAGCCTGTTCCGTAATTGGCGTCCTGGCATTAATCGCTTGCCTCTTTCTTGCCATGTGGTTCCATTCACGTAAAACGGAACGCGATCTTGAAAAGCGCTTCAAAAATCAGTGGATTGAACAGGAAAAGTGCGTAGCTCGGGCATTCAAAAACGGTTAGAACACTTAATCTGTGCTGTAATCATCTTTCCCCCATTTTCGTTTAACCAATATCCTTCCACCCTATTCAGACTTTATCGAACTTCAAACGCACGTGGATGAGTTGGTTCAGGTCTTGAACAAAGGCAGTCTACCAATTCGAGACTATCAAACTTATTGTCTCTTCTCATTATTTCCAGAATACCATCTTAGTCTTGTTCGACCAGCTAATCCCCATGACATGCTGCCATATCTTCCAAAACAAAGTGTTGGCGTTCTAAAGAGCTCACTCATTAAAGGAGCCACCCCACTTCAACCACATCCACTTGTTTCCTCTTTCAAAGTAAGCTTTTCGTAATGTTAACGTTCATGAGATGATGTGCTCTCCAAAAAAGTCGTGCTATTCCTAAGAAGGGCCACTTGTATGATCTTACTGATTTGGGCTTTGAGCTATTTCCAATTACAAATATCTTGAGAGATCTAGTATGAGGAAAAGAACATAAAATCATAAAACGGCAATTGAGATGAACTATCTATGTATTGGATCATTGTAGTGGAAGGAGAGGGAGAGAGAGTTGTGGAAAGGAGTTCTGTGTTACAAATAAAAGCTGTATATGTCAAGGTTGAGTCTTGAGTAAAAGCTGAAGAGGGTACCCTAATGAAGACCGTCTGGTATTTCCGCATTAATGAGCCATTCTATGCCTGTTTAGGCTGGTAAATTGCAAGCCTCCAATATTAAAATCTGGGATAGCTTGATCCCAAATCACTTTATATCAGCTTCATTGCACCCAACGTCAAACTTATGTGGAGGTGCTTAATTATCTTTTATCATGTCACGTACAAATTTAGCAATGTTTTTAGTGGTTTGCTTTAAATCACTTTCTAGGTATTTCATATGTGAAGTGAGATCTTGTAGGTCTTTGTTTACGACTTTATTTGGCGACAAGTCTCGAAAATTTGACACATTGGGAAAGCGCTACACTAAATAGAAAAACAACGTTGATATAATCCTATTTCCCATCTGTACAGGTCTCAGCTAATGTTCAAGAATCGGCGGACCGGGGTATTTACTTGTTTAATCGGCTCCTGCACGATCGCCGTTTCCTTTGTCTCCTAGTCGATACAATCGAATCGAATTGCAACATAGATGCCCGTGCAAAATCACAGATTGCTTCCCTTCTTTCAATTATTTTCCACCCCAATATGGAGTACTTCACCCAGTAGGTGGCTATAAGCTTGCTACTCATTTAAAATAAGTAAATATTTTTTGATTATTTCTGTTTTGTCGTTCTCTAGGATAATTCTTTCTCTGATAACTGATCTCCTGCGTAATTCTCGTGATCATGGTGGAGATAGTCGCTTATTAACTGCATTTAGACGCGCAGAATCAGTAGTTGCTAAAATGCTTTCTAATTGGCTCACATTTCTTCTATACAACTTCATTAGAGAACATGCTGCGGAACACCTGTTTATTTTGTATCGCGCACTTAAACAACAAATCAATACAGGACCACAGGACGCCGTTACAGGACTTGCTCGATACACCCTCGACGCTGCAACGCTCCTGAAAAGCGATCTCCTCTCTCGACAAATAGTAATTTTAACAAAAAATGGCTCGATTTGTACTTGATGTTAGCTACTGACTTATCTGCCGCATTTGTTGATTTGTAGACTCTTTTGGTTGTCGATCCAGAAGATCTATTCGGTCAGCTCTGTCCAGCAGAATTGCAAGTTCGAGTACTCTTGTGCGATACTGTGACTCAAGTAAAAGAAAAGATCCTAGACACCATCTATCGAAACACTCCATATAAGAACCAGCTTCGACCTACTGATGTTTATTTGAGTAAGGCAATCATTGATGAAACTATTTCTATGTTTGACTTAGTCGGTTTTAATAACTGCCACAAAATCAAGTATCGGATTAAAGGACTTTGCTTTTGATTTGCAATTAGTATTGTTATGTATGACTTATGTTTATGAGTTGGCAATACTAAGTTCATTTTATTTTTTTTTGGTAGGAAAAATTGTCAAGACATTTGGAGATGGCAGGGAATGTAAGTCTGCAACTGTTATTTTGTTATTAGTTGTCAAGGTAACATATCCGTACCGAATCCTTTTAAAATAAGCCTAGTTTCTTGCTATAGGTTCAGAATCCACTAATGGGAGATTGATTTTATTTGATTAATTATTTTACGTATTTTTTAGCTATTGATTTGCTCATGATGGATTGGGACCTCGAAGTAAGAAGAGATACCCCAAATGCAAGTCTCGACGGTCCTCCTTATCGGCTCAACTGTCTCAGTGATTACAAGGTATCGATACTACTGAGTTCTAACTTCTAACTGACTCGATAGGTGCACAGTCATAGCAAAAAGATAAACAAAGTTGTGGAAGAGTTAGATGAAATCAGTTCGCATTGTCCGCAAGAATTATCTCTTCTCCTTTCAGGCTAACTTAAACTTGTGCTTTTTCAAGCAATATTTCGAAGAGCTTCACGCTGAATCCTGTAACAGTATTAAGAATTTCATCTTGATTTTGCTTCGTTTCAACTACCCGTGTCCTTTGCTAGCCTTGAAACAATCGGAAATTGCATTCTGGAGTCTGGGGGGGGGGACACTTGTTGTGTTATATCAGCACTCCTTTAAGCGAACATTCATAGACAGTTCCTCGAATTTCTTTAAAGTAACGAATCACGGTAATAGGGACTGGAATCCACTTCCTGGTAGATTTGCCTTAGCTAAAATTTTCTAGTTCCTTCCCTTGTATTCTGATGAATTTTCAGCGTAGAAGTACTATATAGCAGCCTAAAGGAAGTGTCTTCATAATTATGGCTTGGCTGCAGGTTTTTGTTTTCCAGAGAAATATGTTGCGTATGCTCTACCACATGTCATGTCACTGCGAGAGCGTAATTTTACCATCACCCTTAGAGCATCGTCAATTTTATCCGTTTCCCCCTAGTATTTTAGTGAATAGGCATGCTAGAACAGCGAAATTTATCTGCGTTTTTGTTTATATCTGTAGATGAATGACGGTGATGTTCTGGCCTTGGTTCGGGCAAGGGGTCCTTCGAATGGGAGTGGTACTTTGCCTGGTGCTCTAAACATTTGTCCAGAAGTTGACTCCTGGGGTGTTCATAGTTGTCCGCCGGCAACTGGCGCCAGATTTCCACTCCCTCTCCATCATTATCATCATCTCACCTCAACACCACTTTCCAACGGACCTTATGAGCAAGTTGGTCCAGAAACGCTCAACATTCGCCCTACTGGTGGCCCAAATCCACAGCTTTGGTATCACTTGGAGCGCCCCACTTCTACCGATCCGCAAGTATGTTTGCAAATTTATTTATTTATATCAAATGGCAGGCGTTTTGATGGTTATCATCAGCCCTTTAGTTGACTTCAGGCTTCACAGAGGGGAAGGAACATCAAAGTGAAAAAGATTCGAGAGGGGGAGGGGAACAGAAGAGTATTTCAAAGACGAAGGTAGAAAAGGTAGAAAAAAGGTGAGCTGAGCACTTTGGAAGTGGTAGAATATGAAATACAGTGGGGTGATGGTAGTTTGAAGTCAGTAGTCAACTGCCCATTGATAGATTTTTTTGCCGTATGATCATACGTTGCCCAGGGTGCACCACGTGGAGGTAAGTCTATCGCACACCCCTTGTTTGCAAATTAAATACCACCTTTGGATGTAGTGGTCTCCTTAGACTATTTAATAGTGAGCTTACATTTAGAGTGTTATGTACTGTCATCAATTTTGTAAAGATGTCTGATGTCTACTGACTAGGCTAACAGAGGAAAGTTTTTTTTCAAATAAAATTCAAGAGCTGTGAGCAGAATGGGGTATACACATTTAAAACAACACTTATAACTCGAGAGAATGAGAGAGATCACTGTATGTCGGTGTAAAGACGGGGTTTCGAAGAGAAAATAGTCGACTCACCACCAGGCAGAGACAAGTAAGAATAAATAATCAATAAACATACCGCTTTGGTTTGAGGTGATTGTGCCAACTTTACGCAGGCATTTTGTTTTAAGAATAAGTTCGCAAAAAAAACGGATAAATTACCATGTGACTTGAAAGAAAAAAAATTATTTTGATGAACACTTGGGGCGCAAACCTTCAAACCCACCCCAGTATACACGATGCTGACACCTCACTCTAAATTGCTCCATTTTAATCGATTAGGCATAAATGAACTTTAAAACTAATAATATGCCTCACGAATTAAGAAAATCATGCTAATGAAAGTAACAACTGCTGCTAAAAATTGGGGGTTAAAATTAAGTTAATAATAAACGAGCCAATGCGGTGGAAAGTTGTGGGCTTTACAAAAATAGGAGGTCATTTGCTCATCCGATATTCCTAACAGAATTTTTAATCATCGAGTAGAGAGTATAAGCATTCAAAGATATTTATTTATTTATCTCAAATGGCAGGCATTTTGATAGTTACCATTAGCCCTTTAGCTGACTTCAGGCTTCACAGAGGTGGAGGGGGAACATCAAAGTGACAAAAAGTCGAGAGGGGGAACAGAGTAACGATTCGCAGATGTAAAAGAGACAGAGAGGCAAAAATTTTGAGTACAAGGTAAGACGAGATCTGCTGAAATGGTGGAATATGACATACAGTGGGGTGATGGTAGTTTGAGATCAGAAGTCAACTGCCAGTTAATAGACTTTTTTGTCGTATGAGATGTCAACTGCCGATTAATAGACTTTTTTGCCGTATGAGAAGTGATAAGTCAACTGCCGGTTAATAGACTTTTTTGCCGTATGAGTGGGTTGCCCAGGGTGCACCGCGTGGAGGTAAGTCTATCGCAACAACTGCCGGTTAATAGACTTTTTTGCCGTATGAGTATACGGTGCCCAGGGTGCACCACGTGGAGGTAAGTCTAAATATACATTGCCCAGGGTGCACCACGTGGAGGTAAGTCTATCACAAACCCCACATTCAAAGATTGATATATAAAATGAATGTAATATTATTTTTTATGTCATTAGATTCACCTCAATATATGCGTTACGTTCACATTAATTTATTCAGTTAAATTTTTCATTTTGCTGCTTTTTTGTTACTAAATTTTGCAGGTCCAGATTGAACGCGGTGGTCGAACATGGAATGAAGGCCATAAAGGCAAACCGCCTCTCTGTTGTGGTTGTTTACCGAATTCCCGAGAGAAATCTCAGCGGTCTCCTTCAGCTCTTCCATCTTCCTTGACTTCCACTCAACAACAGCCATTCGGCGATGGTCTCGATGCACGCAGTTTGCGTCGCTGGCTGGCGTCTGGGACGGATTGTAATAGTGCCACAGAACGGGTACAAGTTTCACAAGGATCCTTTCTCAGAAACGGTGGAGTTAGGAGAACACGCCATGCGAAGAAAAGGCTCTTCAGGAGGTTTGGCAGTGCTAGTACTCCAGAAACGATGGAATTGGCAACAAATTGGGCGGAGGAACAGGATGATGCCATTGATCGTCCGATGACAAAGTTACCTTGTGAAATATTTCTCAATCGATTGCTCCGAACTCGAGTTAGTGACTATAAATCATACACGCCTCTTTGTGATTCTTATCCCGAGAATTGTGCTGTTGCATAATTAGAGGCTTAATAGCGTTAAATTTGATATGGGACTTGTTAATGTGAAGCTGGAGCCAATTGGATTGAAACCAGTAAATATACCGGAATCAACTAAAGTTAATTAGAAGTTTCTTTTAGTCCCATCAGTATGTTCAGTCTATTTCTGGGCTCGTTGCATCCTACTATAAAAGTCGCAGAAGACATTATTATAAACGAACTTCTAAATTACTCTTCCAATTACCCATTTGCGGTCGCTTAATTGTGCTGAAATGCATATTTGGTCCTGTTTCTGAGTGCCGTTGTGGTGGTACTTGTTGTGCCAGTGAAGTTTCTAATTACAAGCTATTTTCTTGGCATAGTTAAAGGAAATTTTGATTAAATCGATTCCTATTGAAAAAATAATACACGAGAACGGTCAATCGATTCAAAATTTCTCTTTTTTGTAAATTCTAGGTTTCAGTCGCAAAATACATGGACAGGGTATTTGAATTAATATTTGGAGCAGTTATAGACTCTCAAAGTGCTCCTCTCTGCATCAAATTTCTATTCGACTTCCTAGACTTCCAAGCTGAATCTCTGGGAATCCATGATCCTGACGTTCTACACGCATGGAAAGCCAACTGGTACGTTTATTCGATAAAGTATTTATCGTTCCTCTCCCCTCTCATCGCTAATGTCGATCTTCAAACTAGTTTGGTTTTGACGAAATTGTACCTTTAGAAGATGCTCATATTACTAATTCCTACTTTAGCGTACTTTAACCACAAGCACTTCATTGAGGTATGAAATTAAAAATTTGTCAATAAGAAAGTGTAAGAAGCAAAGCAATTTGATCTCCCAATTCTCATGACGAGTTTACTTTAACTTATAATGATCTACTGTTCAATGAGATTACTTCCACCATAATTCAGACTTTTAAATATTTTATTGATTTCCTTCGCTTGGTTAGCGATAATTGCTTATAAACATTTATTCTGTGCTAATAAAATAGGGTTTGAAACGAGGGGGGTTAATGCACTAATTGTTGGTGGTGGTGGTTTCAGCACACTAAGTGTCTTAATTTAGTCAATTTCCGAAACGCTTGGCTTTCCATACTTTTCACAAGGCTACGAGTCAGTCTTCAATATTAGTCTCTCATATTTAATGCCATGGTTGGTCATTTTACTTGGATCTATGCATATTCTTTTCAATACCTGAAAGCCCACAAAATAGATTAGCAACAATTGCTTAACGCCATCCAATCCGTATTATTTTTTGTCCATCATGACAAGATACTTACTTTCATCTTCATTATATTCTAGTCTCCACTTGAGATTTTGGAACCAAATATTGATTAATCTCGATTATGTGTTTGACATTCCATTGCTGCGAAATACCGCGTTGGAGAGGTCATTCCATTCTTTCAGTCAAGCCGTCACCTATGCATGCTCACCGGTTCTTGACAAGGTTACCATGGACTCGCCAATTAATAAAGCACTTTTCTCTAGCGACATCGAGGTAAGATTTACCAACATGTAATAAGGCTATATTTATGCAAATTTATTTTAAATCTTGGTTCTTTGGTGTATTTGGAACTTCAGATTTTGCTTTTATCTTTTCTGTGGTTAGCTTAAGCAATTTTCTTCGTTAAAATTATCAAACTCTTTGGTCGTACTGTGAAGGTTATTGAAATTAGTTCATTAACTCGAGCATTTGTATGTGATAAAAGCATAGACTAATCAAAGCCTTGTCTGTTCTCGATTGGCTGCTTTGGAAAGCGTGCATCCAATAAGAATACAGAGACCCCAGCCAATGAAAGTCAAAGTCGAGGATTAATGATATTTGATGAATAAGAAATTTGCCTTGTTGCGATATTTTTTGCACGTCATCAATCAATCAGTGTATGTGTGGGTATTTCAACATAGTAATGCATTACCATTTCAGCCGTCACGTGGGGGTAATCTGACTTGGGGCGTAATTTTGTTTCACACGTTGTGTCGCACTGATCATCAGATTTTAATGATAATAGAATTGAATTCTCCTTGGCATTTTAACTTGCACTTTCACCTGATTATTACCAAATCCCTTATTCCGAATAGTGGTTCTAACCTGTGTAGGCACTTATGCGCATGATATCCTATGTCTACTTGGCATTGTTGAATTGAATTATTTGCATTGAATATAATGGATTTAAATTTTTTTCTTATATGTGAGTTTATACTTTAGCAAACTGTGATTTGGCTTAAAAGTGCTATTTATTTTGAATTAATACTTATTTTATACCGAGAGTGTGAATAAATTGGATATGATTTCAAGTAAAACGTCAAATCACTTTAATATTATTACCCTATACGAAAATGGCTTTTAAGCCATTCTCCATTCCATTGACTTTAAGATTTATGAATATGCAAATTTCCTAATAGCCAGAGTAGGGACTTTCAATTGTTGTACTTTTTAAAGGTTTATAAGTGCTTAGTGGTTTCTTTAGTATATTTGAAAAGTGCACACAATGCACAGCAGACTGATGCCGCCAACGTGATGATAGGTTTTGGTGGTATCAGACGAAGGCTATAGACACGTATTGAACATGTTTCAAACTCCAATAACGGGTTCTGTTACGAGTCTACTAACAACGGAATTTATTTTGGAAGAGGATCGTATAGTCATGCAGGGTGTTAAAGAGTTAAATAAGGGCTACAAGAATAAAAGTCACTTACACTATGTGGGAATATCGTTAGGTTCTAAGACTAGAGATGAATTAAGCGCTAATTGACTTCAAAATTCTTTTGAACTCGTTAAAGAAGAAAATTAGATTTTAAAAGTAAGGTCGACATTAGGAGATGAGAGTGAAATCACAAGGAGAACATATTTTGTGAGAAGTAGGCGGATACTAATCATCAAAAATGTGGTTTTTTGGCGAATGATGCTTCTCTGGCAAAATGAGCTGCAAATGAAACTTAAATCTGCTTATTTCATCTCCTTTGGTAATTGCTTTATCCACATGGATAAGTCTGGTTGATATCTATTGGTCTGCCAATTACCCTTTTTTGCCTGAAAATCTCACATAGTTTATTCCTATTTATTTGCACGTCAGTGGTTTAAATAGGGACTTCCTAGTGTGTTTATTAAGGTTAACCAACTAATTTCATTGATATTAGTTGAATTACCTCTTTTTGATCATAAATTTGAATTCCCGACACTTGCAACCTCAATTCCGTTTTAGAACCCCTCGCCCCTCCCCCTCGCCCACCTAAGAGGGTTTGGAATTCTGTAATCCCTTTGAAAGCCAGATTTAACAGCTATGGTCTACGTTCCGCCACCTCTGACTTCTCATTAAAAGGAATTAACCTCTGCGCCACCTCTTATGATCGAATAGTTAGTACATTAAATTATTTGTATTAGGTTGGCAACTAAGTCATTGCCGATTTCAAATAAGAAGACGAATTCGGAATTTTTGTTTAAAATTATAACTTTATTCAATTTGATATTGGCCGTTCTTGTCGATGACCTTTTTCCATCGTTCTGGCAGAGTAAAAATTCCCCTTTCGTAAAATGTCTGGTCTTTGCTATTAAAAAACTGAATTAGGTGTGATCCGACATCATCCGCGTTGTTACAAATTTTACCATTTAAAGAGTTTTGCACGGAACGAAACAAATGGTAATCCGAAGGTGCAAGGTCAGGGCAGGGCTATATGGTGGGTGTGACAAAACATCCCAACCCAGTTCCAATCATTTTTGCCGAGTAACCAAAGATGTGTGGGGCCTTGCGTTATCATGATGGAAAACAACACCCTTCCGCCGATTTGATAATGGCGGCCGCTTATCTTCAATTGCATCCTTCAGTTTTTCGAGTTGTTCAACATACACATTTGAATTTATCGTTTGGTTCTGCGGCATGAGTTCAAAATACAAAATTCCTTTGTGATCCCCCCCCCCCGGACTGACAGCATAATCTTTTTTTTGTGAATCTCTGCTTTTGATACTGTTTGGGCTGGTTGATCTTGCTTCACCCATGATCTCTTGCGAGTAGCATTGTTATAAACTATCCACTTTTCGTCGCCAGTAAATAGATTCTTCAGAAATGGATCATTCTCATTGTGTTTCAGTAGCGGCGAATCACAGATGCTAATTCGTTGCGTCAAATGAATTTCCTTTAACTGGTGAGGGATCCATAAATCAAGTTTCTTGACATAACCAAGGGTTTTTAATTTTTTTCAATGCATATATGCGACACATTGAGCTTCTCTGCAATATCTCGTGTTGTGCTGTGACGATTTGAATCGACGATAATGGCCTTGATATGGGTTTCATCCACTTCGACTGGGCGGCCAGATCGTTGTGAATTTTTCAGTAAAAAATCACCGGAACGAAATCTTTCAAACCAATTTCGACACTGCCTTTCTTTTAAGGCTTCATCTTCATATACGGCACATAACTTCTTTTGTGCTTGCGATGCGTTCTTGCCTTTTCGGAAGTAATGCAATAAAATGTGTCGGAAGTGCACGTCCTGTTCTTTCATTTTTGAATTGGGATAAAAACAAAACTAAAGAACTAAACAAAGAAATTTTTACTAATTAACCTAGAAGCCCATACAGTAAGAAAAATATATAGGTTAAATGCTCTGGCCACGTTAACAAAACAAAAGAAAGTATAGAGTGAATCCGTCAACAAAAACGGAAATGACTTAGTTGCCAACCCAATACATTGTTCTTTCCTCTGTTTTCAGCGCCATTGGTTGACAGTGAAGAAGTACTTTGCAGAAATTAAGGCCATGCCACCTATCTCCCTACGGGACATGAACTTTTCCCTTGCTCAACACTCTAAAAATCACAAGAACGACTTCAATGTCTCATGGGCACTCTACGAACTCTACACTCGCCATGTCAAACTCTGCTATGATACTGTAAGTTATGCTCATGTAACTTCCTCTTTATTTGTAATTAAGGTATCCTTATTTTCTATTTACCTAATTACTTTTGTCTCTGAGGCTTTCTCATTACTAAATTAGGCAATGTAATTAAATTCTCCACTATTGAGAATCAGAGGTGTTATCAAGGTCATGCTGGCACAATGTATTAGCGCCGCCTTGGGGTGTGATTTTCGAAAGCAGCCATGGATACAGAATCACGTGAACGACTATCAGTGCGCGTAATCAAAACAGATCTCTAACTGAAAGTAATGATATTTTTAACAGTTGATTTTCCATCACACTGATCAGCACATTTTGCTCCCTTATCTTTTGTGTATGTTCAATGAATTGAAGTCATGTCAACTTTGTTGCCACACTTCTCATCCGGAATGAGCATCTTTACTCAACTCTAAACCGCATCCAATCGCAACCACCAAAAATCGCATTTGCAATATCCCGAGTTTATTTATTTATATAAAATGGCATGCGTTTTGATAGTTATCATTAGCCCTTTAGTGGACTTCAGGCAGCACAGAGAGGAAGGAACATCAAAGTGAAAAAAAGTCGAGAATGGGGAGGGGGATAAAAGAGTCTTTAAAAAATGTAAAAGAAACAGACACAAGGGTAGAAGAAAGGTGAGGTGAGCAACGTGGAAGTAGTTAAATATGACATGCAGTCGGATCATGGTAGGTTGAAGTCAGAATTTTTTACCGTATGTGCATACGTTGCCCAGGGTGCACCACGTGGAGGTAAGTCTAAATATACATTGCCCAGGGTGCACCACGGAGGTAAGTCTATTGCACACCCCATGATACCTATCATAACGCCTGCCATTTGAAATCACATCCCGCAATACCCCGAGTGAATATCCCGTTATCAAGTTGTATTTTATTCTTTTGCATACTTAAATCAGACACGTCCTTAACTTCCATCATAGAGGGAGCATGTTCTATGCTAAATTTGCAGTAAATTATGAGTGAGATCAGTTTATATTTAAACTAACATTTCACCTTTTGTCTCAACTGCATATAAGTTGCAGGTATATATGTTCTTTGTGTTGGAAGGTATCAAATATCGATTGTGGGCGATACAAAAATAACTTTTGTTAGATATGTGCAGTCTCAACATTCTTAAGAGCTACGGAACGGACGAGGCAGTGAATAGAAAGAAAAGTAGAACACTTTGTAATCAAATTTCGCTGAAACTATGGAAACATCGTCCTGAGGAAATTACCCCTTTCTCCAAAATGACTTTATAAGTTTAAGTTTGGTGTATCTATTTTAATAAAAATTTGCATTTTTCCTGAATATATACTCATTCCAAGTTGTTTTACATTTAGTAAGCACATTAATTTAATTATTTGAACTAATTAATAGTAATGCTAGTCTTCTCTCACTGAAGCTTGGTATTGAGTCGGGTTTCCTATTTCGACCGTTGTCTACCAAAATATCGTTAAGCCTCTTTTTTGTCATTTCAGCTTGTTTCAGAGCTTGAAACTATGATTGCAGCAGGAACTATGCCAGCTGCAAATATCTTACACAACGCAATGGGAGACGCCGATAAATACTCCTATTCTGACGGCAGTGGTAGCCTTCATGGTGGGGCTGGTCTCTCACAATCTCGGAATGTCAACTGGGACCCTCTCTCTTTACTTCAGTCCCTCAAAGAGGTTGATTCCTGCATGACCACTGTGACAGCCTCCACAACAATATATAACAATGAGAAAGCCTCGACCTTGAGATCAACGAACTCAGCAACCAATAGCCCACTCTTTGATAATCATTCACGTCATCATCCAACGAATGGGAATGGAACAGGAGGAGATGGTTGTAGTGGGATCAGTGGCTCGACACTGCGATCTGTGGTACCACATTCGGAGCGTCGTCTTCCTCCTTTGCCCTCTTTACCATGACCTGTAAAACACCCCCCTCCCCACCCCCCTCCCCCCCCCCC